TTTCCTGTACATGTGCGTTTTCGAAGATTCCGGTGATTTCTGCACACGCCAAGTAAAAAAGCACTGAACATTTTAAACAGCAAACGTCAGCTAAACAGGACTGCATAAAACGCTGATGCGCACAGCTGAAGGAGGCTTATAAGTTTTGAGAAATGCTGAAATCAGTATATGAAACTTTTGCTTTACTCAACTGACCATTAAAACGATCAGAATAGACGGTGCAACGATGAAGGCGATCCGAGTTATTTGTCTCTTCTCATCGGTCACTGCATTTTGCACCGACCCTCCCGGCTCAAACTGAATTGCGCTCAAATGAAGCATCTATAAAAAATTCGTTGCTGGCTAAGCTTTAAATTTCCTCAGTGGAACATTATCCATGAAATACAAATTACAATTTCTTCAGGCTCTTTCTTGAATGAACGTGTTAGTTTAGATTTAGAGCCGCACTTTTATGAATGAACATGTTGAAAGAAAAACTGGAAATGTTGCTGTGATAATGGTAGTTTATAATATAAAAGAAAGACCATTCATTTCAGTCCGGATCCTTCTTTATCCAATTGTTATTTACTCTGAACTCTTCCTTAGCCTACATGAGTAGCAACTCCCTACACGCACTACAGCGTCTTCAGCGCCAGTGTGAATCTCAAGTTCTTTGACTGCTGACAGCCTCGTCCAGAACGTTACAGCCACCGCACATGAGGCTGTTCTGAATTAGCTGGTTTTATCCGAGAGTCACATGAATCCTCTACGTGCCTGCAACTCTATACTACATAAGTTAGATTATCTGCCAAGTAAGCCTCGAGTTCAAAGGATTTGGTTAGGCCAAGAGCATCCTCACAGGATGTGAAAAGCAGCCGTCTAACGATCGTGTATCAATTTTCTTTTTGAAGCATTTCCCTCAAAATATTTTCCCAGTTTTTCTGACACAAAAGCCACGCTGTTAATCTGAATGACTCAGTTTTGAGATATCCAGCTAATGCTCGAGGCAGCGAGACATGACTTACTCGCCGTTACGTAAGTGCATACAGTACTCAAGTTGACATGTTTGGGAATCACAGTAACCGTACTTACATCAACGTCATTGAAATCGTCGTTAATTTCATCGTGATTCCGTTGAGAGCGCTGCGCAAACTGGTTCCAGTTCTCAGTAAATGGATTTTTCACTAGCGAATTATTGAAGGCACAAATGCGCAAGCCGTATTTATGCGCCACTGGATCGATGCTCTGATTTGAATAGAACGAAAACGGTGTAGTCAGAAAAAGACCATGCCGCAAAATCTTCTGCAAACAAGTTGTGAAGGACTGATCAATTTCAGCATCTTGATATGACCAATTTTTGTTACTACTACCGTCATAACCTTTGTACTGAGCCGAAGTTAATTTTCTTAAAGAGGAATTCTCGTGCAGGGCAAAACAAGGAGTTCTGTAGCTGGTAAAAGTTTCCTGTAACACAAACCGAAATAAAAAAGTGACCTTTGTGTATTCTAAACCTTCGCAATAGCTTGACTATTAACAAAAATCTATCATCCCAAAAAGTTCTATTTCACAATGAGCTAGCTGTGTTATTGTCAAAAACTGGTTAATCTTGCTTTACATTTGCTCACCCCCTATGCACTGCTTTACGTTGCACAATCTCTTGCTAAATGCTTTCGGTGGTACAAACATACAAACTCACATCTGTTCGAACAACCATTTTGTTGGTCATTTCATAGTTTTCGTCGAAAATAAAATTACTCGACAAAAGTTGAGCACCGCGAGCATAGCGCACTCGTCCAAACTCCAGAAATATCCGATCGAACGATGCATGTTTCTTTATTTCGTTGTAAATCTGTATATCTTTTAAGTGCTTTTGACTGACTGATTAGTTTTTTCACAGCCCATTCAAAACCTCATTGTCGTATATGAGAAGCTATGAGTGTGTCGGTGGTACGCATGCATTATGCAGTCCAGCCGTACCCTAGCTTCTGACAAAAGTTTAAGGAAGTTCTCTGCAAAATGGCACTTCTGCTCAATATGTTCTAGCCTAAAGCCGAAAAACTAACCTTTTTTTGCTGCCAGTTTTGATATTCATGTAATGACACTAGTAAGCTGTCATATATACAGAAGTCTAACACAGCTAAATTTAAAAGAAAAGACTGCTAAAGTCCCAAAATAATCAGACTGAAAACGACAGATACGCCACCATCTGACAAGTACTGTTCAGATTCATGTCATGTATGATTTAAGAGCACACCAAGTCAGTTTTGGCGTTCATTTTCCCGCGACCAGATGAACTGTGCGCAGCAAAACTTCGCACTTCGAATGGGATTTGCTGTAGCCAGCAAAGCCTCTGCATAAGAGTTGCGCAAAATTAAAATTTTAAAAGGATTTCCAGTGACTGCATTAAAATCCTTGCTGGACGAGGCTGTAAGGCAGTCAAGTAATCCCAGAACACATGCATTGCCTTTTCTGTTATTTGTGTAGAAGTAAGCCGTTCTTTTATTTGCTGTGTTAAAAAATGTGTTAATTATGTTGCTTTAGATGGCGCGTCACATCATCATCGCTTTTGCAGGCACGCAATCAGTGTGAAACATGCATTAAATAAATCTGACAGTATACGGAGACAAACGACGTAGAAATTATGAAATTCGAAACCTCGTTGCTGCGAATTTGTAGTGCATGAATTCGTGGACTCCAAATGGCTTTTATGTCAGCTTTAGAGAAACACGTGAAAGAGAAACGGTGGTCGGATCGCTGTACGCATGCGCCGTTTTCGACCTGAGAGTGCGTCGAGGGAGGGCAGTAGCATCTGAAAACGGAGTAGACCAAATTATTAACGGTTATTTCCAACGACAAAAACTTTTCTTTTCAGGCACGACTCGCCACAACATGCACTTCTAAGTTTGGTTCTACCACCCACGGGAGCGAAACCAGAGAGCATAGCAGCACGCACTAGGAAGCAGCACTGTAATGCACTTTGCAGTATTCTGTTCCAGGTTTGTCAAGCAAATGGACGAAGCATGCAGGATTTACTTCACCTCGTAAAAATGGTTCTTTTACCCATTCGTCAGGGGAAATTATCAGTTTTTTAGGTTCCCGGCTTGCTCGTTCAGATGAAAAGATGTTTTTTAGCAACATTGTTATTCACTTTCTCTAGAGTTGCAGGATATGTGCAGAATAAGCAGAGTAAAGTAAGCAATGAGAGGAGGTCCGAGGGTGAGGGGACGAGGGAAGCAAACCATCAAGCAGGCGTACGTAAAATCCACGGCTGGAGGCTTCATTCTGAAGAACTAGAGACTGATGCAAATTCCACAATACCGCTGACTTTTTATGCGTTTTTGCATGTATGCAAATTGCAAAAACGCATTTTGGGAAGAGGCTGTGTGTGTGTGTGTGTATATGTGTGTGTCTGTGTGTTCGCACTTTTTGTCATCCACTTTCAACTCGAGATCCAGAAAAGCTAGAA